TCTCAGTCAACTGCATCATTTGCCTCATGATTTATATATTTTTTAAAAATCTGGAGTCATTTCTGATCATTTTCTTTCCTTTCACATATCAATCCATTGGCAGATTTGTCCTTCACAATACATCCTTAATTTATCCTGAATCCAACCCCTTCTCAGCACCTCTACTTCCTAGTCTAAGCCCTATTGCATCTTTCTAGACTGTTACATCCTACAATGGACTTTTGTTTCCATTCTTATCTTTCTTCCTAAACTCCTCTCCGCTCAGCAGACACAGGGATCCTTTTTAAAAGAAAATTTAGATTATATCATTTTCCTGCTCACATCTATCCAACACCTTTCCATATGTACGACAAAATCTCAAGATCTTGACATGCTCTGACCCCTGCCTATCTCTCCAATTTCATTTACTATCACACTTTCTCTTGTCCATTCTGCTTTATGTATAAGACTTTTTGCCATTTATTTCTAAATACAAATAAGCTCTTACTCCTGGGCCTTTGCATTTACTTTTATCTCAGTCTGAATGCTCTTCTCCAGACACTAATAAGACCCACTCCCTTACTTGATTTGGTCTCTGCTCATATATCACCTTTTCTAAGAGGCCTGTCCTTATTGTCTGGTCTAAATAGCACCCTTTATCATGTCTTATCCTTTTAATCTGCTTTATTTGTCTTCTGAGTGCTTCCCGCTACCTTACTCCCACATTAGAATGTAGAATACACAAAGGCAGGAAGATTGCCTGCATTCATCACAACTATGTGTGCCTATAACAGTCATCAAAAGATTGAAGTACTCAATCAATATTTGTGGCATGAATCAATAAATGAATTTTCACAGCTCAATGTCAAATTTCTGACTCAGATATTCAGAGATGTTTTGAGTTAGATCTTTTAACAGAAACTAATAAATTACTACATTTTACCTTACATTTTTAGGCTCCAATCACCACCCATAGACTGAATAAATTTGAAAATTTTTCAAAAATCATAGAAGAGTGTCACTGCAGAGAGACTCTAATATCCATTGTGATGTCACTTGCTGATCTGAGGATTGTGATGCCAGATATATGAGCCTCGAATGCAGTATCCAGGCCCAATAGCCCTCAGGAAACGTGTATTAAACTATGTAATGCAGAAAAGAAAAATTCATGTCATTATATTTCTTCCTTTATCTGGAGACTGACATTTGTTTAAAACAAACCAAAAGGTACCAGTCTACCTTTTAATTAAAAAAATAAGAGTGAAGATACATATATTTCCTCATTGAGTTAACGCAGGCCTACTTGTATTTTTCATCTTCATGCTATTTTTAAAAATAAATTGTAAAAATGGTTCATCTCCTCTAATGTCATGGAAAATATCCTTATTTTTTGTAAATATTCTTATATTAAAAACTGTCTTATACCAATTCATTAAGTGCACTTACATATAATTAGACAAAATGATAACATTGAAAGCTGCAGATGTCTTATTTCATTGATTTAAGGATAATAAAAATAGACTCATTCAAGTCACACCACTAATTTGAACACATCATTATTTTAAAAGAAAGTAAATAAGTAAGATAAAGATATTTTGCTTTTGCCACTTATTTTTAAACTGATTTATTTATTCTGAAGTTTTAAAGATAAGGACTATGCTGTACTTATCTCCTACCTAGGGAACATAGGTAGATGTTCAGTAAATGTTTTTGAAGTGAATGAGTGTACTCCTTAAGGATATAGCTCAAAACTTAAACTAGATGTTCAGAACAATCTTCTTAGAGCTTGATTTACACCCAATCCAAGTTTGCAATATGCTGACATGGCTTTTCAGAATTTTTTCTTTCATAAAAAAAATAGCTTAATATTACTAATTTCCTTCATTTATGTAAGATATATTTGGGTTATAAAATTGATTTTGTGTATAATTGTTCATAGACAATACTTTCACCAGAGTAAATGCAAAAGTGTTAATGGAAGGCAAATTATGTCTGAGACACTTTTCTAGGCAGAGTGTGGAGAGCTTTTAAAATGAATAACACATTGCACTTGTTTTCAAGTTACAAACAGTCTGGACTATTGAGTTGACAGAAAGATTCCAGACAAGATCCAGGGAACGACAGTAGGAGCTCAGTAACAAGAAAGTGAAGCCACCTCCTCCATGGAGTAAAACTTCAATTTTCTAAATTGCATTTCAAACTTCTTTTATGTTGGGTTTCATACCAGGATGAGCATGTCTTCAAAGCGAGATGTATATGTCACAGAGAGGGTGGTAAATTCCTATGGAGCATTTAACTCTCGATTGTGTGTGTGCCATCACATTTCGTGTATTTGAGCAATGTACATTTCTACAGCTTGTTTTCAGTAGCTAAGTCAGAACATAGTGATCTAAAAGGTTGAGCAGATGGAATTCAGTCTGGAGCTGAAAGAGATGACTTGCCACACACAGTGGTCCTCAACATGAAGTGATCTGAAATGATGGAATTTTCAGTGTGCTTCGCTATTTGCAAATGTCTTCCAGGCACACCTTTCGAAACCGTTGGAGGAAAGGCACATTACGAGTGCAAAACACCGTTCTGGTGAATTGGTAATGTAAAAAACTGCTACTGGTACGACCCAGTGCAGTTAATAAGCAAACAGAATCATCCTTCTAGGCTGGTTGTTATATAAGTAGCTAGCTATAAGATGACCCCTTTCTTCTCATGACAAACTGAATCAAAATTACCCAAATATTTGGTATCTTTTTATGATACCTGGTATCTACATATAACCCCTCTGACCCTTTCTCTCTATGAACAATCTTTGGAACACAATTTCCTTTCTTAATATTGTGGGTCTTTTCAGGTACATTTACTTGACCATTTTTACATTTACTTTGTTAAGAGAGTAAAGATCCATGGCTTAAATTAGAATAGAAGCTATGCCAGAGATAACAAAAGGGTTTTGGTTTCTATTTTCCTTATAAATAAAAGGATAAATTGTGCTAACTCAAAAGAATAAGTATGTTCATCTTTTAGGTTTTCTAATAGTTAATTAGTTAAGTAAAATGTTTTATTTATAGAAATGGAAGGGCCATTCTTTGACATTGTTCAGACACTTCCAGCTAAACTAACACAGTTTCAATGATCTCTTTACCAAGCGACAAAATTATATATTTTTTAATTCACTAAGGAGTTTCAGATATTAAAGTTGGCTACCACGTAGACAAAAAAAAAACTTTTACCTTCTCTCTTGGGTAATAATTAAACTGATTAAGAATTTTGACAAATAAACAAGGATATTTAACCCTGTTCCATTCACCTAATGCCCTCAGAAAATGATTTTTTCCCCTTCACTGAATCTATAGCTCAAACGAAAGTTGCTGAATTGCAGATATACAACTAGTATCCTTAGACAGAAATGAAGGTCATTTATAGAAGAAACCAGCATCAAATGAAAACACAGCCTTCTACACAGTCACATACATATCGCATACTCTTTACCCATAGTGAGAAAGTAGGTCACTCTTCATTTCTTATTTATTCCCTGTCATGATCAGACCATAAAACCATGTGAGATACTTCAGAACTACTGTCAAGATATGAAACCCAAGACAACGAGCAGCACAACAACCATTGTCAACAGGCAAACTCCAACAAAGTCTGGGTTTGGATTTGGTTTTATGTTAAGGGAGGCAGATTTGCTCTGGTTTTTAATAATTCATAAAAAACAGAAATCACAATGTATCGACTCAGTATCCACCTGCTAAGAGTCCAAAAAAGCCAAAGTTCTCCCCCTTTCACCCTCTGTTCCACTGACATTTTGAAAATAAAGAAAAAAATACGGGAAAAAACGGTGAGAAAGAACACAGAAAAGAATTAAATTATTTCGAATTCTTATTAAAAATCCATCAGGCTAACTTTTAGTTTCCACCACTAAGACCTTTCAGATAAATTGGATGTGCATGGTTTTGCCTTCCTGGGTTGATCTAGAACTGTAAGGATGAAGTGTGTGTGAATGTGTGTGTGCTTGGAGTCCATTTTATAAACACTGACACAGGACAATTCTCATCATTGGTAATAGTCTTTGGAGTCCAATCATGCAGAATAACAGGCAGGTGCAAGTTAGGTCTTGTTGCAAGATAGACATGGCAAGGTGAACAGTTTAATGCTAGATAAGGGTTGGGAAATTTGTTTTCATTAGAATATACTGGCCATTGGTCCCACGGAGTCAAAGTTAAATATACAGAAATCCATATACAAACAGAGGCCTTCCATTTCAGCTTCACTGACCATGAAAATGGGTCAAAGTTAATCATTTCAGACAGTGAAAGGACTATTTAAGTGCCAAAAAAAATAACAAAATCTTATATTTTAATCACATGGAAAATAACTAATATAACTATTTACACTGCAACTTGTTTGTGTTTTTACAAGGAGTTTCCCTGCTTGGTTTAATGATATCTGTGGAAAATGTTGGACTCTCACAATTAAAATGTGTGCGTATTGGGAGGGGAGTGTGGGGGAGAGAGGAGTAGGATTCCTCTTCAGACCCAAGTGGTCAGGATCAAATATTCCTAAAGCAATTTTCTTTCTTTCTCTTAGCTGTAGAAGATAAAATTTTCAGCAAAGGTTTCTGACAACATTTTTTACAGAATGTACTACTTTTAAGATTTAGATTGTCATATGTTAAGAGAATTAAATAGAAATAGGTTTTGTATAGTTTAGATTTTGCAATGAATATTTAAAATTTAAAAGTAAGTTTTGCTTGTTTTATTTTATTTTTTCCCCTTGGCAGAGCATAAAAGGATTTACGTATTTTCATCTATTCCACATATTCCATTTGTCAAGGACTATTTTCTGATTTACCAATCAGCTGTCATGAATATCCTTAGGCAATATTTTTCTAAGAATAATAACAGATTGAGATAAATGATCCTGCTCTTCAGCCCTCAATTAAATAGCTTACTCCTATTGGACGGAACTGGCGAGGCCTGACCCACCTGTAGTATACATTCCTACAAAGCTCAGTCATCAGATTCTTGAAGATGCAAGATTATCGTCGGTTTTTATTCCACGAGAAGATATTAGATTGTAAGGCCAACGTATCTTTTTTTTTCTTTTAATCAAAACACTGACCCACAAAATATAAAACATAAAATTTCAAAATGGTGGTATGTTTTGCCAAACTTACCCAGCAATTTAATTCCTCCTGCATGTGGGCACACAGCCATTCCTTTTATAAAATACTCTAGAACATTTCATTAAGAATCACGGCAAAACCAGTACCCTATACGAAGTGGCAGAAGGTTAGGCCTCTCAGAGTGCCAACTTCACATTTTAAAATGAACTTCAACCACAGGCAGGACATTTACTTTTTTCAAAAATATAGTCCAGGTGATTTGATACCTCCCTGTCTAAAAAGCATGAGAGTCCTTTGGAAGTAACAGGTGACTATATAGGAAGCTTTCTTTTTAGGAAAAAAAGACTCAATACAGAATATAACATGTTCTGTAAATTTGATAATAACATAGTCATCTCCTGAAAATATTACAATAAAGTGGAGCCAAGATCATGAAGGGCTGGTGGGCTTTTAAAAAGATGATTCTCTTTTTTGCCCCATCACCTATCTCACTTTGATAACCTGGTAAATTTAATCCTTTAAGCAGTCAAGAAGCCAAACCCTTAGCTCTATGTGTACATGATACTTCAATCGAAGGGGTTTGTTCCATTTTTTTTCTTGTCCATAAGGGAGATCTGGCTTAAGGTAATCGGCTTCCAAGAGCCAGGCAATAGGAGTGATTAAACTAGTGAAGTTTAGGGAAGGCAGTAATAGCAGGGGAGGGGCATTGTCTAGTTCGCCTGGTTTAATCTGAGTGGGGAAAAAACAAAAACAAATCAAAAACAAAAACAAAACAAAAACAAAACAAAAAAACAGCACTTCTGCACAAATGACAGATCATCTAACTGTCAAGCATTTCTAAAACGCTGGCTGAAGATCTCCTTCTGTCTTTTGATGTCATTTTGTGGCTGATGAAATTCCCTTTGTGACTCGCTTTCTTTCAAAGAGCTGCCTGCTCTCTGCACTTAATTGCAAGTGCTAGAAAGCCAGGAGCAGAGAGGCCACAGGTGAAGCAAGAGAAGAACACAGAGAAAGGAGCTAAGTAAATAATAAGGGATCAGAGAAGGGTTTTTTTTGTTTTGTTTTGTTTTGTTTTTTTTTAAGGGTGTGAAGAGGGGAGTGTGACAGAAAGTAAAATGAGAGAGCTCAAGTGAATGTGGGGGCATTTTTAAAAAATCTGGTTGTCTGCAATATTAACTAAAAACAATGGCAGAAAGATAGAGAAACTGGGCCACTTTTATTCCAGGAACAAGCTGCACAGTCTAATTTTTTTTTTTTTCACCATTTTAAACAAATGACCTCTTGTCATGAATCCTATTGTGTGAAGCAACCTCATAAATGGCAGCATTGCCTGCAAGGTGATGGTGGGGGTTGACTCTATTGCTTGAAAAGAGACAAAGCTTCCCTATTGTTATATTAAGGCAGTTTTCAGAGCACTGGCATTATCATTTGCTCTATTTTTGAAAAGATTCCATTTGCCAGTCGTATCACACTCATCATCCATCCATTTCATGCCTTTTACTTTTCCTTCAGGTGAAACATCACCACACAGGTGAGCACCGAAATGGTCAGAGTGCAAAGAGCTGTGATGGATAATTCACCAAAGTGAATAAAAAGGGAAGTTCAACATGGTCCCTATTATTGCTGAGAAGTCACCCTGGTTTTGCCTTGTATATAACCAAGATGTTTCACAGTGCCTCCTTGAGTGCCCAGGAAAGCACTTTCATTTAATGTGAGCTAAATTCAGGTGATTTTGCTAAACAATAACATAAATGCTTCATGGCTTTTGAGACAAACTCATATTGCTATAGCTGTTTAGCAGCAGTAACCTATGGGCAGAGTTATTGCTGTCACATTGACTGTAGCACAAAACGAAATATCAGCCCTTCTTGGATGGTTTGAATTTATGAAAATAAATAAACATGAAACATCAGTCATATTAAAGAGTCAAGGAAACTCCTGATAAATAATAATATCTGTGGAAATGTTTGCAAATGCTAACCTGAGGATCACCCTGTGCTTTGGGTTTTTTTTAAGTAATTATTATTATTTTTTTAATTTCATAAGAGGAAAGCAATATTTCTTCTCAAAATAAAACCTTGGCAGAGTATGAACCTGAGAAGTAACACACTCATGGAAAATGCAACCCACAAAATGAGGATAGTCTAAGTAGTCTATCATTTTCTGTTAAGGGTATGACACGGAGGCATCCTGCTCTGTTCCAGGGAGCAATTCTTACGATCAGATATGTACACAATACCCCTGCCTCACCACCTGCCACTCTCAATCCAGTTGTGACACATAATTTTACAGTGACAATGGGGTCTACTCTCTAAAATATGGATGCCGGTGTCTCCTAGTATCTGGGCAATAATCTCCTTTAGGTCTTCTACACTGCAAAACTACTTTCTAGTCAATCCTACCCACTCAATGTCAGCGAAAAGACCTTCAGCTTTTATTTCCACCTTCCTTCTAAAGACCAAACCATTTAGTGCCTAGAAACTGTTATCCCTCCCATCCCCACACTAGACATAAGCATCACATATGTTCTTTCTACAAATTGGTATACAGGTGCCATTTAATCAGTTCAAATTTGGAAACTACATCTTCAAGGGTCTGAGAGAGCTCACTCCCCCCATATTTTTCCCCTTTACATGTTTTCTTATAAGACATATAGCTTAATCAATTAACAAACTAAACAGCTTATATACTGGCAATATATTACAGATGGGTTTATGTCAGAGTAATAGATCACATGAAATGGACCATGTGGTACCCCAGTGCATGATGTCTTGGTAGAGCCCTGAGGACACTGACAGTAGCATCTCTAAGTAAGTAGTGCTGTATGAATACAGACACATGCGGATCTGTATCTACATCCATCTGACTAGGCCAAAAGGAGCAGGTAGATGCAAGATAGAGACACACACATGCTGGTTGGGGCCACTGCACACCTTGTCATGCCATTCGAAAGGGCAATTACAGGTCGCTGGTTTTGCAGCCATTAAAATTACGCTTTATGGAAAAGGCTTTTCTAATTGTGTTTGATTTGCTTTCTGTAGTAAGAAGCATCATTGGAAGAAGACCAAAGCAAGAGCAACTAGAAGTTAAATATACATTTGGCTTAGCTGCAATACAGAACTCTGGAGAAGCAGGCTGAAAGATTTGTTTCAATTTTAGGCTTGGATTTTCTCCCTTGCTGTTTTCTTGTCATTGCGTGTCTGCGTTTGTGTGTGTGCATGAGTGTCTGCGTGCGTGCGTGCGTGCGTGCGTGCGTGTGTGTGTGTCCCATCGCATCATCTCCTGAAGAACGCTGGGTTTCGCAGGCAGGCGGCTAGTCACCTGCAACAACCCAGGGGTCCCGCCGAGGCTTCCAGGCTGCTGTCAGTGTCAGATGCCAGGGTCTGGTCAGTGGACATGGAGGAGATGTCATTGACGGACGAGGAAGGAGGGAGACTCTCACTGCTGTTCACTGCTGCACCTGTGCTAAGAAAATGAAGACCAACATGACTAAATCTGGAACTAGACTCAACTTAACGTCCGTCACTCAGGATGCAGGTCTGGGCAAATACAATAGGGGATGTCTAATCCATTATTCATTTGACAAGGCTTCATATTTCAACTAATACAGGGCACTATATTAGATGGTGAAAAGCAAGACACACAATTCAGAATCCCTGGTCACAAGTTACTCACAGGCTAGTGCAGTAGTTAGCAAATCTCACTCTAATGTAGAAATCACCTGTAATAATGATCTTAAAAGAAAGCAAAAAAAAAAACAAAAAAAAAAACAACAAAAAAAAAACCTCCACGAAAAACCCCAGTCACCCCTCTACATCTCCAATATTGTAATTTATTGGCCTCAGGTGGAGCCAAGGAATTTGCATTTTTTTAAAAGGTCCCCAGAGACTATCTAGTCAAAGGTTGAAGACCATTGTTCTATAGAGAAGGCAGATGAGCAAAACTCTTTAATATAAAGGTCTAAACCTGGATGCTTTTAATGCAGGGAGGTTTTAAAACCAACACACGTAAAGATCCTATCCCAGAGATATGGGCTGAGGTGAAGGCCAGAAATCTGAATTACTGAGACACTACAGCTCTAGAGAAAGGAAAGTATATTAAGTACACATTATTACATAGACATTAATATGACATCACACTTAAAATCCATATAGAAAAGCCATGTAGAACTTTTGATGAACATTACCATAGAACAAAAAAAGAGAGAGAGAAGACAGACCACACCTCTCTCTGTTTACTTTCCAGTAGGCTTGCTTACCTGAGAATCTACAAATAAGAACTCTAATTATTAACTTAGATTAATTTGTAAAAAATTATATGTATATTTATTTCCTACATGGGAGTATAATGATTCTGAAATTCTGAGAAGAAACTTACTAATGGTAATCTCTCAGTAAATACTGAGTTGTGATAGCTTTGCCAACTACAAAGGAAAGACATTGAATCAAAGACATTGTAATATATAATTAAACCATAGCACCCTGAAAGAGTTAATTTACTTTTTATCCTTATGTATTCTTTATACTTAAGCAATATGGGCAGTATAATGCATGCCTGTGAAATAGTTTGCTATTAAAAATACCTACAGTATAATCATCTAATAAGAGATAAAGAATTCTCATTAAAATTGTATCTTACTTGAGCAAATACAGTGTGCAAGATACATATGGCGAAAAATAATAAATCCCCAAAAGCGTATATTTAAATCTAATAAATCAGAAAAAAAAAGTTTAATGAAGTGGAGAGGTTAACACCATCTCTTGGTTCTCAGGGTAGATATTTTCTGGCAAAGGAAAAAATGTGATTAAGATGTGAAAGTATCTGGAGAAGACCCATACACCTAATCTAAGATAGATTCTATGTATCCTATATGTATTTTACATTTTTATTTGTTGATTATAAATATATTTTTATAACTTATGGAAAATGTAAAAAAATATAGAAAAAAGATATTGTTCACTGATCATCAAATTAATAAGAGCTGTTAAATTTGCTATATTTTTTCTTTTTGCGAAGTTTCTCCGATTGAATTATTTAAAATATATTCTTTTGTATCATATTTTCATATGCAAAAAGGCTCATAGAAGAATCAATGCCTCCTAATCTTAAATGTCTCTATATTTTTAAAGATCTCATAATTACTTTCATTATCAGAGCATATATAATGTAAAGTTATCTGGTTTCAATTTATTCCAACTTTTCTTAATTATATCTTTTACGATAAGGTACAGAGCTAGTTCATTTCTTCTCATGACATATCCTAGTAGATTTCTAGCATACAACCCTTGATTCCTTCAATAGTCCAAATACCCTTCTCTGTTTTTCCTCCTAATTATTGATTACATTATACCAAGATCTTCATGTTCTTTCATAAGCTTTGGCCTTTAATAATTTAACATCACCACAATGTGTCAGAATTGTCTTCAGATTTTCCACACTGTTATTCAAGGGTAGAGGTTAACACTAGACATAGGACTCTAAGAAAGGCTCGATCAGTTGGGGGCCAACAGAGTGAGATTACTTTGTTCTTACTGTCCATTCATCCCCTGGATGATATATCCTTATATAATGATGGCTTTCAAATTATGGTAGTATAGTTTAGATTTAGTTTTGAATTGAAATATGAAATGTTGTCCATATACCTTTTAGTAACAGCTTTATTGAGATATAATCCACAAATTTGTACAATCAATGGTTTTTAGAATATTCATAAAGTTGAGCAACCATCACCACAATCACTTTTGTAGTGTTTTCATGACTCCAAAAGGAAACCCTATACTCAATTCCTTACTTATCCTCAGCCCTAAGCAATGAATAATGCACATTCTGTCTCTATAAAATTGCCTATTCTGGACATATAATATAAATGGAACCATATGATGTGCGATCTTTTCTGACTGATTTCTTTCACATAGCATAATGTTTTCAAGGTTCATTCATGCTGTAGCATATATCGATACTGCATGCCTTTTTATGACTGAAGAATATTCCATTCTATGGATGCATCACTTTTGCTTATCTATTTATTAGTTGATGGGCATTTGATAAACATTTAGGTTGTTTCTACTTTTGACTATTATGAATAATGTTGCTGTGAACGTTCATGTACATATTTTTTATTTCTATTGGGTAATTACCTCAGAGAAGAATTGCTGGATCATAGTGTAACTCTCTGTTTAATATCTGAGGAACTTCCAAACTGTTTTTCAAAGTGGCTGTACTAGTTTACATTCCTAACAGCAGTGTGGGAGGGTTCCAATTTCCCCCTATTCTCTCCAACACTTCTTATTTGTCATTTTTATTATAGCCATCCTAGTGTATGTGAAATGCTATCTCACTGTGATTTGCTTTTCATTTGCCTAATGGCTAATGATGTTGAGTATATTTTCATGTGCCTGTTAGCCATTTGTATATGTTCTTTGGAGAAATATCTGTTCAGATCCTTTGGCCACTTTTAAATTGTGTTATTTCTTTTTATCATTGAGTCATGACAGTTTTTCACATATTCTGGATACAAATTTACTATCATATAAGATTTGCGAATGTTTTTCTCCTATTCTAAGGATTGTCTTTTTCACTTTCTTGATGGTGTCTTTTGAAGCACATATGTTTTTAACTTCAATGAAGTTGGATTTATCTATTTTTTTCCTTTTGTCACATGTGGTTTTAGTCATATCTAAGAAACTAGTTCCTAAGATCATGAAGATTTACTCTTATATTTTCTTATAAAAGTTTTATAATTTTAGCATTTACATTTAAGTTTATGATCCATTTGAGTTCATTTTTGTATATGATATGAGGTAAGGGTCCACCTTTATTCTTTTGCATGTGGCTATCCAGTTGCCCAGTACCATTTATTGAACACATTTTTCATTTTTTGCCCATGGAATTATCTTAAAATCCTTGTTATAAATCAATTGACCATAAATATAAGGGTTTATTTCTGGAATCTCAATTCTATTTAATTAATCTATATGTGTACCTCATGCAAATACCACACTGCCTTGAATATTGCAGCTTGGTGTTACATTCTGAAATTGGAAATTGTGAATCATCCAACTGTGCTCTTTTTCAAAATTGTTTTGGTTATTCTGTTCCTCACATTTCCATGTGAATTTTAAGAACATCTTGTCAACTTCTGCAAACAAGGCAGCTGCGACTTTGATAGCTTTTGAGTTTAATCTGCAGATCAATTTGGACAGTCTCATCATCTTAAAAATATTAAATCTTCTAATCAGTAAACAATATAATGTCTTCTCTTTTACTTAGGTCTTCTTTAATTTCTTCCAACAATGTTTTGTAATTTTCAGAGTAAAAAATTTTACTTCTTTGTTAAAGTTATTCTTAACTATTTTGTTCTTTTTGATGCTATTGTAAATGGAATTATTTTCTATTCATTGCTAGTATACAGAAATACAACTGACTTAATGAATAGGAAGTTTCAATATCAGTGGAGTGGAAACTAAATAGATCAAATGATGACATATATATTTCATAAACATTATAATTAATCAAAATGCCCAGGCAACCAGGAAGATTTTTGCTACTGTGCTTTATTTAAATTTTGACAAAATAACTATTTGAAAGTTTTAAAATAAAGCTCTGTCATAATACAAATCAAAAATTATTTTAAAGAATCTCTATGTAATAGTCCTGATCTTCTCTTGAGAAACACTTTTTCTCCTTTCCTGGTGGGACCTGATTATGTGGACCTGCTAGGCTTGCCACAGTGAAAGCTGAGTACTGATTCAAAGAAGTGTGATATGAAACTTAGCTGAGATAAGGCTCCCTCAAAAGAACACAATTTGATATTTACAAATAAACACAGACCCAAACAATGGCAGCTAGAGAAATTATACAAATATTGAGGAAATTTCTCTAGAAAAGCACAAATTTACATCTACAAATAATACTGAATGAAGGCAGCAAGAAACAGACTAGCATTTAATAAACTCATCATATACAGGGTATCAAGCTGCAAGTTAAGCTTATAAAATACATAGCACTACTACTGTGCCGATTTTAACAAGTAGCATATTTTCAACACTTTTGGGACTTTCTAAGTGCTATGCCCTATAAGTCAGCCCATGATTGCATTTAGTTTTGCTGCATGATTACCTCGTGTTTAGTTTCCTTTGCTTCATTTTGTTTTTTTCATTCTACTTAATTTTTTCTATCTTCCTCAGTCTTTACTGTTGAGTGCAGAATGAGTAGCCAATTTAACAAAACATTGAGTACCTTTTGTATGTACTCTTCTAAATAGGTGCTGTGAGGAAAAGCAAATGTCTTCCTGCTCTGAAACTAGTGAAACTGCTAAGCTGGTTTTGGCTCAGGGAAATAGATCATTTTGTTGTAGTTGCCCTTCTCCTTTCGTTCATCTGCTGGCTCTCTGCAATCTCCACCTTCCGTGTTGGAGTGTTCCTGCCCTCCTTTTTTTTTTTTTAATCAGTGTTGAATGCA